ATAGCTGTTGCACAGCAAATGTAATATCTGGCCTTGTGATGGTCAGATAATGTAATCTTCCCACCAATCTCCTGTATCCCTCTGCATCTTCCAGTGGTGTTCCTCTAGAAGTCAGCTTCACTTTAGTGTCAACAGGTGTTTTACACCCCTTTGACTCCAGGTAACCTGTGTCCTTTAAAAGATCCAGACAGTATTTCCTCTGGCATACATCCAAACCATCTGAGGTTCTACTGACCTCTAACCCCAAAAAGTACTTAAGGGGCCCTAGTAGCTTGATCTTGAACTCCTTACTCAATGCTACTTTTACCTGCTCAATGTCCTTCTTAGAGTCTCCCCCCAGAATTATATCATCAACATAAACCAAAAGCACTGTGATCTTTCCATGAGTCCACTTAGTGAACAATGAATAATCTGAGGCAGATTGAGAAAAACCAAACTTCAATAAGAAGTTTGTGAGTTTAGCAAACCATTGTCTTGATGCCTGCTTTAACCCATACAGTGACTTCTTCAAACGACAAGTCATTCTTTGACTACTTCCTGAAGGGACTTCTAAACCAAGGGGTAACTTCATGTATACCACCTCTTCCAATTCTCCATGCAGAAATGCATTAGAGACATCAAGCTGTTCCAAAATCCAATGTTTGGCACTTGCTACTGCTAAGAAAGTCTTTACTGTATTGATCTTAGCTACAGGAGAATAGGTATCAAGAAAATCTATCCCATAGACCTGTGTATACCCCTTAGCAACTAGCCTAGCCTTACTTCTCTCCAATGACCCATCTGGTCTAAGTTTAATTTTATAAACCCACTTGTTTCCTACTTCCTTTACCCCTGGTGGCAATGGGACAATGTCCCAAGTCTGATTCTCTTCCAGAGCATACATCTCATCTTTCATTGCTCTATTCCACACATCTGATTTTATGGCCTCATAGTATGACTTAGGCTCGACCAAGTTAATGACATTCATCACAAAACTTTGATCTTCTTTACTGAGAGAATCAACATTCAGACAGAAAGGGTACCTGCTGCTGTACTGAGCAGTGCCAAAGGCTCCAAACTTGAGAGTAGGATCCAGCTGATAGTCATTGTATTTGCTTGGTAAAGTAACAGTCCTGGATGATTTCTTGTTCCCAAGAGTGTTAACTTTATCTGGATCCACATCAGCTTGTGGGTGCAATTCCTGCTCATCAGAATCAAAGTATGTATAATGGTCATTAACTACTGAGGTAGGTGACACCTCCTGCTCAGGAGTCCCCCCTTCATCAATTGATGAAACAGGCTGAGGAGGAGGTTGGCTGTGAGGGGGAGAATGAGATGAAAAGGGTAGTTGAATTGGTGGAGCAGTAACTGGAACAGAAGTAGAAGGATTGGAAGGGGTTGTAGGGATGGAAGGTTGATTGTGGTGGTTGAAAGGTAGGATAGTTTCATAGAATGTGACATTCCTGGAGAAAAAGACTTTCCTAGTGTGGATATCAAGGACCTTGTATCCTTTAATTCCTGCTGGAATTCCCAGGAACACACACTGTCTAGCCCTTGGGGCAAACTTTGTCCTGCCATGAACAAGTGTTGTGGCATAGCATAAACATCCAAACACCTTCAAATGCCCCAGGGGAGGTACTTTCTTATAAAGGATCTCAAAAGGGGTTTTGTTGTCAAGGAGAGGTGTGGGAATCCTGTTTATCAAGTAGACAGAATGGAGAATGAAATCACTCCAATAAGAAAGTGGCAATCCAGATTGAAATTTTAAACATCTAGCCACATTTAAAATGTGCTGATGTTTTCTCTCCACCCTTCCATTCTGTTCAGGTGTCTCTACACAGGAGACCTGATGTTCAATCCCTGCTGCTGAAAAGTAATCACACATCTCAAACTCTTTTCCCTGATCTGTTCTGATAACCTTTACTGTTGTGTGAAACTGGTTCTTGACCAGGTTACAGAACCCTTGTATCAAGCCTCTAACTTCACTTTTGTGCCTCATCAGATATACCCAAACACATCGAGAATGATCATCCACAATAGTAAGGAAATATGCAAAACCATCATAAGATACAGTAGATAATGGACCCCAAATATCCATGTGCATTAAATGAAAGACTGCAGGTGCAACACTGGTGCTAACAGGAAAGGGAAGTTTGTGTTGCTTGGATAAGTGGCATACATCACAATGAACTGTCTTAAGTTTGGAAATAGATGGAATTACATTGCTGAGTAAAGTTTGCCTATCAAAACTAGGATGACCTAATCTGCAATGCCACAGGTTCAGGTCTTGAGGATGGAAGTTAAATGCAAAAGCTGCTTGGTGAATGTGATTTGGTGGGGAAGGCTTGTTTGGTCTTGAAGGAAGGTCAAGCTGATAGAGTCCTCTACTTGTGTGGGCTAAACCAATCCTCTTCTGGCTTAATAGGTCCTGAATTTCACATTTATCAGAATGAAAGTGTAAGGAATAAGGATTATCATGGGTAAGTTTGCTAACAGATATGAGGTTAAAGGAAAAATGGGGAACCAGTAGGACATCATGTAAGGTTAAACCACAATCCAACTGGACTGTCCCTATACATGTAACTGCTACCTTAGTGCTGTTGGGAAGATAGACAAAGGAATTCTGTACTGGCTTATAGCTAGAAAAGAGTGAAAGACTACAAGCAATGTGATCAGAGGCTCCTGTATCTACAATCCATAAAGCAAGATTGTGTGTTTTACTACTTTGGGAGGATGAGAGGACATGTTTACCTAAGAAACTAGGATATGGGGAAGGACAATAGGTAGCTGAGAAGGCTTGATGGTTAAAGGATGGTGAGGTAGGTGGTGAGGGTTGTGTGTTAGCACCAGCTTGCAGAAGAAACCTGAGTCGATTCATTTCTTCAGCAGTAAATCCAGGTGGATTTGAGGTCTTACCTTCAGCAGACACACTCCCTTCAGAGACATTCTCATTCCCACTCCCTTGAGAAATTGAACCAGCAAACCTTGGAGTGCTGGAGCTTGAGCTAGAACTCGAATTTGATCCATTACCATTACCTTCTCTCTCCTGCTTCTTCTTCAACTTCCAACAATCTTCTATAGTGTGATTGTTCATCTTGCAGAATCGACAATATTTTCTTCCCCTTGCTTCATTGTTCTCCCTGGAACTGTTATCTCTTGAATTGTTTTCTCTGGAAGTACTGTCTCTTGTACTGTTGCCACCTACTGCAAGAGCCAGATTCTGTCCCTTCTTTCCTCCCATAGCTGCATCAGCCTTCAACTTTTGCTCATGTTGAAGAAGGTCATCCACTGCAGTTGAAACTGTGGGCAGTGGCTTTTGCAGCAATAACTGTGTCTTAATCACTTCAAATTCTGGATTAAGACCTCTCAGAAACCTCACCAGGTAGTCAGTTTCTTGCTTCTGCACAAAGGCAGTTACAGCAGCACAAGGAATGGGATTTCCAGGTGCACAGACACATGGTACAATGGGGCAGAATTCCACATATTCATCCCAGAGACCCTTGATAGCTGTATAGTACTGGTTTATAGACTTAGAACCTTGTTTACAGGACTGGATTTCATCCTCAATGTTCATGATCCTTAAGGCATTGGGTAACCCAAAACGCCTCTTTAGTTCATCCCATAACGTCTTTGCATTAGTATGGTTCAAGACAGACCTGCGAATCTCTTTTGTCATCGAGTTTTGCAGCCAACAAAGAACCACAGTATTGCAAGCATCCCAGAGACTAAATAGATCTGATTCTCTAGGTGGGATTGGCAGTGACCCATCAATAAATCCTACTTTGTTCTTAGTTTTCAACACCACTTGTATGGATCTGCTCCACATCACATAGTTTGCTCCATCGAATGGTTCAGCAACAAGAGATTGAGACATGTTCTCATTTGGGTTAAGGTAGTAAGGATTACCAAAAACGATGGTTTCAGGTTGCAGCTGGGTTCTGTTGAAGCTACCAAATTGGAAACCTGCTGCTCCTGCTGTCGTCGTAGATCCACTTCCACCGGCGCCGGTGGGTGGCGTGTTAGGTGGAGTTTGTCCTCCAGACATCCTGTCGTAGGCGGCGGAAAACCCTAGAGCTCGTGAAGCTCTGATACCATAATGCGAAAGGAAGATTTGTGGAAGAGGAAGCTCAAAAACACTTTGAGTCCTCTGTTCCTTTTTATAGATAGAAATGTAATTAGAACAAACTACGACAGGTGTCCTTACATCATTGGTTGGAAATTTAAATAAACAGTACCATTTAACGGCTAACAACTGTAAAGTGATCCGGTGCGTTTTGCTTCTTTCTCCTTCATGGCTCAGCAACACGACGCCGTTCTTCTCATCCCTTCTGTTCCATTTCGAATCCTTCTGCAATAAGGATTGCAGCCTTCTGTTGTCCTTCATCAAACCATCTGCAACTCTCTTCAACTCTGTCACAAACAAACTATCAGAACCCTAAACCATCGAATCAAACCCCTAAACCGACATGCAATCGAAAACTCATCATTACCTTCGCTGATTCAGTCACTATCGTCGTCAGCGTGAATCGCCACCACCGATATCCACCACTGTGGCTTCTTCCTGCCCCCGTCGTTTTGCTCTCCTTCCTTGCTCCTCGTTATTCACTAGAACGGAGGAGAAGAGAGTCGATTGATAGGCGAAAAGAAAGCAAGTGGGATAGAGACGACGATTTAGTCCGATTAAGAGAATGGTTAGGGTTCAGTTTTTTTGTTCGACATTTAGAGAGGAAGAGTCGAAATCAAGAGAGGGAAGGAGAGACTGAGTGGCGCCAAGTTTTAGAATAGGTTATGTTACTACCCCGCTCTCCCCAAAAGTTAAAATGACTATTATATCCTTGGGTCAAGTTCCACCGTATTGTCGATGACGATTAAAAATGTGAACTATCGGTTCAGTCGGTGTCAAATTTCGACATAAAATGAGAAAGTTATGGGCATTAATTGAGTTTCGGATTAAACTCACCCGCAAGTGTGAATTTTCACAAATAACCTTGGACTAACTAAAACCCTAGACTTTTATTCTACCCCACTCGGGCTCACCCCAATGGAAAAACCCTCGCGGCATCTATTTCTCCGAAAGCAGTTTGGCAGAGCGGCGTTATGGACGAGGGAGACAGAGCAAAATCAGTCCCGCTACTATGAGAATAGCTTGCTTGCGGGGAGGAAGAGGAAAGGCATCGTCCCGCCACTACGGGAGCAGCTTGCTTGCAGGGATGAAGAGGAACCGGGATCGGGCCGACGTGGGGCTTGGTTTTCTACTGCGAGAGGCGAAAGCTGCGGCGGCGATTACAAGCCTGCTCGCGATTAATGGACAAGCCTGGACCAGCCTGCTTGCACTCTCTAAGGCAGCAAATCAAGCAAGCGGCGATATATACTCCCTTTTACCTCTAGCATAAGCAAGCTGGAGGCGGCTTGCTCCCTGGAAAACGAACAGGTACCCACCCTCGGCAAAACAAATCAAAGCGGCGCTATCTACTCCCTCAATTGCGAGAGGTGCTAGCTTAAGCAAGCAGGAGGCGATTTCTCATCCGTTTGCGAAGTGAAAGACGTGTGATTACCATTATTCAAGCACACAAGCAAGCATGACCATTATTCAAGCACACAAGCAACCATTATTAAGCATGCAGGAGGCCATGATTAAGCAAAGCAGGAGGTGTCACTTAACCAAGCATGAGGTGGCTTGATCTCTGCACACGGATGGATGACGAGGGGTTGTTATTGCCAGCGGCGGCCAATAACGACCAAAGCAAGCTGGTCCAACCAAGTACGAGTGTAATATTTGGAAGCGAGTATGGAAACTTTGGAACAAATTCATAGCCAGTTCCGACGGAAGTAAGGTGAGTGTAAAGGGGGTAAATTCTACGCCTTACGTATTCTTTTAAGTATTTTAGCGAATTGGTTACCGTTGCTTTGTTATGTTTATGCTTGATTATTTGTGCTTTGCTTGAGCTATGATTTGAGGTGATTTTGTGCTATTTGAGGTGATACGAGGTGATTTTGTGCTATTTACCTTAAAGCGTGATGTTTGAGTTATTGTTAAAGTTTAAGAAACAAGTTCTTTTTAAGAAGTAACTCACCTTCAAGAAGGTGAAGTCGTTTTAAGCGTTTTTAGTCACTAGCGCCGGTCCGTTGCCATTTGAGATTTTCAGATAGAGCAGCAGTTATGCTCTTGTGATCTTTCAGATAGATCAGCAGTTATGCTCTTGAGACTTTTAAGATGAGCAGCAGTTATGCTCTTGAGAATCGTGGTGAAGAGCCACCACGATAAGTTTAAGATGTTAGGGGGATGAATCGTTACGACTCCCCTAACTAAGTTTAAATTTAAGGAAAGCCTTGATGGCTTCTCATACGTATGAGTTGGCAACTGGACTAGCTAGTGGGGAATCCCAGTGTCAGTCAAGTATTTAAGTCGAGATTTGAGCTTTAAGAATGGAGAGTAACAGTAACTCCCATACAGTTTTAAGAGTTAGGAATTTTAAGAGTGGAAGTACAAACAACTTCCACAAATTTAAGTAAGTGTTTTAAGTAAAGTACTAAGCAGTAAGAATTTTAAACGTAACGGCGTAGACTGACCACATCTCACTCACCAATTTGAAGAGCTAGAGGAAGAGCTAGAGGAGCATTTAGTGAGCATCGAATTCGAGGGCAGGCAGCTAGAGGAGGGCAGTATAAGCGTCACAGAGGATGCTTAGTCAAGGTTTCAGTAGCAACAACATTAGAGATTATTAGTTATTTACATTTATGATTATGAGTATAGACTGGAGATCATATTGAGATTTTATCGTTTGAGCTTAATCTGCCCACGTGTTAGGGCTTTGCTCGGAGCTACAAGTGTGTGTTTTCAGTATTTTATTTATGAAAAGTTTTCCCGCTGCAATTTAAGATTTGAGTATTTTATTTATCAAGGGCATTTTATTAAAAGTAGTACCCGGCCGGGTTAGGGTGTTTCAGGTTAGGGGTTCGTTTCGTTTATAAACCTCGTGTTGCTAATTGACTAAAATGCCCCTTTAATTGCATTTTATTTACTCGTTACCAGCTCCAGCTAAATAATAAAAATATCAAAAACACATTTCATAAACAACTCAAATTATTATCTTATTCACAATCAATATAACGTGTTAAGATCACGCCATAAATCACTCTTTTTGAACGAACTACGTGGACTTTGATCCTGACTACTCGGAAAAGTAGGCGGTTAGTTCGAGTCCAACTAACAAAATTCCTCCCTTACCAAATCACATCTCTTAAATAAGAAAAAAAATTATTAATTTAATCATGTATCAATAAAAACGTTTTAAGATCCCCTTTTCAAAGCCAAAGTTAAATAGAACTAAGTGGACTTTGATCCCGGCTACTCGGCTACGTAGGCAACCAATAGGTTTCAAGTCCGACTAATTAAAAACTTTCTCCACATCTCAACGTGCGAGAGTGAACATTTAAAATCTCTCAACACAAACTACGTGGACTTTGATCCCGATTAATCGTGTACGTAAGTAACCAATAGGTACGAGTCCAACTATCCTAAAAAATTTTCATTCCAAATATGTACGTCAATAGACGTAAAATCCAACTAATCAAAAACTCTTTCTTTAATTTTGACAATCGCGTCAATAGAAGTATGATCAAACATTAATAATAAACACATATTTAACCGAATTATATAATTAAATACGTAAATAAGGCACAAATTATAATACACCCAACCCTTAAAACTTATCGATTTAAGTAGTACCCATTTGGGGTGTTGTGGGGTGTGAATACACTTCCGAACCCAAATTTATACAATTTCGCAGACCAAATCACAGTTTCGACCCTAAGGTCGAGACTGGACCAATCCAATGTTCGACCCACTACAAACTAAGGTCGATGGCAAATCCGAGCAATTCGCGACAGGTCCCTCGATTTCGGATGGGCGGTTGCGACAGTCGCGACTCCGCTGGGGAATAAAGAGAGTCAAACTACATTAACAATCGATAAGCATTTTTCTTACTTTCTTAAATGGGTGTTATGTGTTTACTATATCAATTTGCGCCTTTAATTTATGATGTATTCAATTTATTGCATCCATGCATAAAGCTCTATCCCCGAGCTATCCTTGTAGAAAAAAAGAAAGAAAGTAGTGTGACTCCTACAATAGTAGGGGAAATACGAAACTTCCCAACCAGGTTGAACTCAAATCCGAGGATGATTTGAGGTATCACACTAAACTCGAAAGGGTCATAGTGTGGTACAACTTTGGAGCCTAATTCCTAAAGATCCGTACCCATAATATAGTTTGCTTAGAAACTACCTAAACCGCATCTTATCCCAGAGCCTACCCAAAAACACGACGTTATGCTGGCGAAAAGCCCTAGGTTTACCTCATTAATTCAAAAGTTTGTGAAAGAGTTTATATAATGATCCGTTCATAACTTACTTATGTCGGGTAATGTGTGTGTTTTTTCAATTATTCGTGAATGATATAATTTGATTATATGTGTGAAGGAATTTTAAACTCATTACCTGATAGGGCAAAAGCGTGATGCCTGAATCATATCTCGTAGTAAAACCGGAAAGTCTGGGTATCGTCTCTCAGGGACTAGTACAACCTTATATTCTATCAGTTTATAGAGCAAACTGTAGGTGAAAATGGTTTAATTGGTGAAACTATTATCTAATAGCAAAATAATTAAACAAAACAAGCAAATTAAAGTTGTTGGGAGAAATCAATGGAGAACGCTCTGGGAGAAACACCGCAACAGTTGCTTCTCTCCGCTCTAGCAATTCCGTCCCTGCGCCCCTGCTGCCTTTTTCTTGTCCAAAAGAATTCCCTTCCCCCAAAGAATTCCGCTTCCCCCAAAGATTCTTGCCAGCCGACCTCCCTTTTCCCAAAAAGAAATTCCAAAAGAATCCCCCCTCTGCAAAAAGAGTTCTGTCCCAAATTAATTCTCCCTACAATCCCTCTTGTCGGTTTAATTCCTCTGCCCCACTGCTTCTTCTAAGTGGTCGGGCCCAATAAATCCACCAAAGTCCCGGTCCAAATTGAAAAATAATGCACTCCAACTGGGCTAGTTCAAGAACCCGGTCCAAATTGATTTGGTGATAGACTTGATTTATGTTCGACTTATGTGTCTGCTTGTACTTCCACAATTTCTATCTTTCCACCTAAAATATATCAACATTCTAATACATGGTGGTAATGATCATATAACCATTCCGGAGTCAGCTGGCCTTAAAACAAGCAATATATGTCTCAAACATAGCATGAAATAATCTCATTAAGCACATAATATCAATATGTTTTCGACAATTATCACAACCCCACACTCAATACTTGCTAGTCCCTAAGCAAAGACTCGAACAAAAGAACGATAATTGGAGGAAACACAACACAGACCACACAGGAACAACCTTGCTCAAAACACTCGACCCATGGAACACAATCATTAACACCATAAATTTACCCTTGTACTCTTGTGGTAATCAGTAGTTTCTTTCTCAAAGGATGATTTGTGCTTTAATAATCATACCCTTTCACCCCACACTCAAGCTCTTTGCAACCATTAACCATTGACTGACTCAAATCCATCAACAACTCAAATAGCAACACTCAATTCTGATCGTCTGTAGTGGGTAATTAACAACTTATGGTGTAACAATTATTAGGAGAATCTAACCACATCAGTGAGGTGCATATCTCGTGAGGACAATCTGGCTTACTCACACCAATCATAAGCAATTAACAAAGCATGAGTCTCAAAAACAAATGGGGGAAGCTTTTCGCAAACTTGGTTTTAACTTTAAGCACATCACTACCTTTCATGACAAGGAGAGTCTTTCTCTCTTTCTGATTTTGCTTGCCGAGTGGTCGTATTTAATACAAGTGGAATTTGTTTCTTACTACCGGTGACCAAGCAAGAGCGATTTCTGCTTCTTAGCACTCGCATAAGGGCTTCTTTAAACTCCTTTTCCTCAGTCCATGTGAAGGGTCATTGCACATCCTCAAATGGCACTTCACTCAGCGGGGAATCGTATGGTCGTGAACCGATTCTCAATTGAATCTTTCCTAATCCCCCTGTGCAATGAGTGATTGCCTCACACGATTTTGGCATTTTACCCACACTTTAATTGTTATGGCAACTTTCTTATATTTTACTTGTCAGGTAGGATTTTTCTTCTTTTATAAAGATACAGTTCACCCCATCTAAAACATTTAAAACAGAGAGACTCAATGCAAAGTCAAAAGCTCACAACAAGTGCAAGTAAGCACGATATCCAAACATGTCGAATGGTCAATGTTCTCCACCTAACTACTTCATCAAAAGTCGTTACACTATCCTCACAAAATAGAGTGTTGCTAAAATAATTTGCTCATTCAAAGCATATACCATCAGTCAAACTATCAAGCTCATTGTGAAGAACTTTGCAATTCAACGCTAGGGGGGTGATTTTGATGATTTCATTCAAGCATAAACTCATTACACACGCATCACACTCATTTACATCATTTTACCACAAGAGTACAAGGTTTTGTTTTTTATTTTTCTCATTTTTAGGTGTTTTTTTGGCCATTAGGTTAACACAGGCAGACTGCACCTGCACAGGTAGACTGCATGCAGTTTTACTGTGCATAGCCAAATGACAGTTTTATTTTTATTTTTTTACCACATGCAATAGGGACAAACCAACACTAAGACTCACCACCCCACACTCAGGATGGAACATTGTCCCTAATGTTCAACTCCTAATCTAAACATGCACGGGTTTGACACAACAAAAAAGAAAAAATAAAGTCAAGAAAACTTACCTTGGGTTGCCTCCCAAGAAGCGCTTGTTTAACGTCCTCAGCCTGACGTTCATGGAGCTTTCAACCAATGGGTATGGAAAGGTACCCAGAATACCCTCCCGAGCAATGATATAACACATAACCTCCATCCAACATATGAGTCACCTCTGCAGGGCCAGGTGTGCGAAAATTTGGTGTGACCTTCTTAGTTGGCATGTTGGATCCTTTAGTGAGGCGTAGGTAGTATTGCAGCGCCTCAAGCAAGTACTCTTCCTGTTTCAATGTCAGTGAAGAAGGAATAATAACAGGAAGATTGAAATCCTTACCCAAATATCTATACATGAGGTGATCTGGCAAGGATTTATGTCCTTGCTTTGATTTCAGAATCTGAGCAAATAGGACATGTGATAGTTGTTCAGGTTGTCCACTATCACAGGAGAAGGGATTTTTCCTTTCTCGAGCTCCACTTTCAAAGTCATCAAATGCATCGTGATTATGATCAACTTGAAAGACATTAAAAATTTCCTCTTCTTTACCTACTCGGAATGTCAGTTTGCCTCTCCCAACATCGATGAGTGCATCTCCAGTTGCTAGAAAAGGTCTCCCAAGAATGAGAGGCACTCCCCGATCTTCTTCCATCTCCAGAATCACAAAATCCGTAGGGAGAATAAACTTCCCCACCTTCACCAATACATTCTCCACCACTCCCTTTGGAATTTTCACTGATTGATCGGCCAATTGGAGAGTGATCCGAGTAGGCTTAAGAAAATCTCCCAATCCCAATTTCTTATAGACTGAGTATAGAATCAAATTAATGCCTGCTCCTAGATCACAGAGTGATTTATCGAACTCTCTACCTCCAATGACACATGGAATGGTGAAGCTTCCAAGATCATCCCTCTTTTCTGGTAATCTATTCTAAATCACGACACTACATTCAGAAGTAAGGGTTACCTTCTCCAGATCAGCCCATTTGCGCTTCTTCGTCAGCAACCCCCTTAAGAATTTAGCATATGTAGGCATCTGTTCAAGTGCCTCCGCCAACGGTATGTTGATATGAAGTTGTTTGAAGATATTCACAAATTTCTTGAAGTTTGGGTCTTCCATGGGCTTCACTAACCTTTGAGGGAATGGTGCGGGAGGTTCATAAGGCTTTACCTCTTCATTCTTGAATTTTTCCACATTTGGAGGTGCACAGGCAGAATGCTCATGCACAAGCAGATTGCATGCAGTTTGCCTGTGCAAGTCAGATTTTTCAGCTTTTGCACTTTCTTCCTCTGCAGTTGCTTTGCCCTCTTTTTCTACCCGATTTTTCTTGCTCTTTGGATCCTCCAAATCCTTCCCACTCCTCAATGTGGTTGCTACAACCATGGCATCCTTCGGATTCCTCTCAGTATTTGCTGGTAAAGTCCCAGAAATCCTACCTTGAACATCTGCCAAAGTTTGAGCCATGTGGTTTATTTGCCTCTCCATAGCTAGCATAGATGATTGCATATTATTGTTGATGGCTAGCTTTTGAGTGACAAATTGATCAAGA